AGAGCATGGGGTCTACTGTAAGGCAGGAGAATCCGGCTTTCCGACAGACAATCCAGGGTAGTCATGGATACCCAGAGAGAGCAGCAGTTCCAGTTCAAAGGTTGAGGGGGGGCGCACAGCTGCTGGGTGGCCCAGCTTCCTCAGGTCCCTGCTGCCGGCGACATGTGTGCAGCAGAGGGCAAGAGGAAGTAGCCATGGCTTCTGTCCCCAGTTCTGCCCCTCTGGCAAACAGTGCAGGGAAAGGAGAAGTCCATGAAGGCCCTCCAGGTGGGCTCTGCACAGCATAGCCACGCTCTGCTCCAGACGAGGTGTCCCCTCGTTCCTACAGGGGCTAAAGCGCCCCTTTCATAGGCCAGAGCTTCAGAGCATCATGTCCAGGAGGTACTGGAGGGCCAGGGCTGTACTGGTGGCCTCTCCCCACATACTCCCACCACGACAGCCCTTTTCAGGAAGCCTGAAATAGGGGTGAGTCAGGAAAGGCTGGAGTCCTCATTCAAGACAACAGAGCAGGATGACGGACAGGCAAACATGCAAACCCCGGAGCAATGCCGCAAAGGAAAAGGAGGAATAAAAAACATTAAAATAAAAATTAAAAAAATAAAACAACACACCTTTCCAGAGAGAACAGAATCCCAGCGTCCCAAACGCACTGCAAATAGACCTTGTTAGGAACAAATTAGCGCAGCAAGTAACCTCAACCCTGGGGGGAGAGCCGGAACAGGATCAAGCTGCGATGTCAGCCCCCCTGCTGTTTTTGAAAGGGCATCTCTGGGTGGGGTCACCTCAAAAGTTCCAGAGAAGTCACTCACCTGACCCTCGCACCTGTGGGGACCCCAGACTGCACCCCTGTGGGTGGGTCCCTCCTACAGTTCACGCCCTGCATCCTCACAGCCTCCTGAGTCCAGGTGGCTTCCCGGTCTAGTCCGGTCCTAACTGACTTCAAACTCAGTCCCGGAGGGTGCTTTTTTTTTTTTTTTTTTTTTTCTTTCATCCAACCAAATAGCCATTCATTTAAATGACCACTGGGATTGTTTTTTCATTACATGTCTCAGACAATGTATAACCGTGACAGGGCAGAGAAAGCACACAAAACAGGACAAAATATGTCATCAACCAAAAACTACCCAGTGCTTCCCTTTCCCTTCAGAGGAGAAGTTATATGAATATACACACAAAACACATATGTACATTTTTCCCTGATATTCAAAATTCTTTGAGAACTAGCCATGCCTATCTCTGTTTTTTTAGCGCCGTTTTAAAAGGAAGGAAGGAAACAATAAAGGACGCCATAAACACGTACCCTTCAGCTAGGGGCTGACCAGCTCAAGCACTCACACTTGGAAATTTCACACGGGTACCAGCCAGCGGTGGGTGGTTAAGGCGGCTGGATCCCACATGGCCGACTGTGGGATTCACGTCTCAGACACGGCGGTTTGCAGAAATGCTGGGTACCTATGTGCGCATGCCCAAGATCCCCAGAGGAGGGAGAAATGGAGAAGAGATTGCAGTATGACCATTCCCCAAAGGGAATCACGCTCCCCACCCAACCCCCTGAACTTTCAGCCCTTGGCAACTTAAAAGGAAGAAAGACAGCAAGAAAGTAAAGAAGAGAGGGGACCAGCAGTTAGCGTAATGGCTATGTCGCTGGACTTCCCCGTAGTCGACCGTGGTTCACGTCCCAGACCCGGTGGCTTAAAACTCACACCAGGCACGTGTGCGTGCATGCCCAAGATCCCCAGAGGAGAATGGAGGAGAAGGGATTGTGGCGTGGCCATCCCCCCGGGGGGGGGATGTTTCA